CTTACAAAGTCCCTTACAAAGTCACTTACAAAGTCACTTACAAAGTCACTTACAAAGTCACTTACAAAGTCACTTACAAAGTCACTTACAAAGTCACTTACAAAGTCACTTACAGTTTCGTCAGGGAGGTAAGGTTACCAAATATCGTAGAGGAAAGGTTTTGCAGTTTGTTGTCGTATAACGACCTGCAATTAATTTAAATTGATTAACTTATATAAAGATAATAAACTACTTTCAACCTCACCGTGATCACCGTTATCTATCCTTACTTTGTACAACGACTTGCAAATGTGCATTCAAATATAATAAAACCGCTTAGGAGGTGACTGCTACAGGAAATGCTGAAGAGTCAACTTGCACGGTAGTTTCTTGTTTAGGTATCCTTATATCACTAACAGAGGAAGATGGCAATGAATGCGATAAAAACTTAGACGATAAAAACTTATGCAAGTATGATGCGTGTTAGAATATCTTCAACGCCACAAAGCTAACGAAATATGTTTTGCGGTCTTTTGTTCGGTAGCCCATGATGGATCTATTTTTGTCTTCGTTTTCTTGTTAGACTTGTTTGTTGGCCTTACTAATTTTTTCATCAGTGTTAATTTTGAAATAATTATGGTAACACATAGACAGGTAAAAACGAACGATATAAAATCCCGACGTTTCGGCGACTTCATGACGCCATTATCAAGGGTACAAATGAAAATAGCATTAACAAATGCGAGTTCAAGAGTTACAACTAATTTGCATAGTTACAACTGGTTACAATTATGGTAACTACGGGAAAAAGACACAAACGAAACAGCGTAAACGCTACACGAGAAGAATCCGTCTATCTTCAATTTTTGTTGCTTGGTGAATTTAAGTATTTTATACAGATATTTCCCATACCTCCTCAAGATAACTGTACTTCAGACAAAGAACAAAAGAGCATGAAGCTGTAAAAAAGAGTCTTAACCCCTGCAACTCTTACACGAACCAAACTGTCCTTAACAACTTCGAAATCACATCAATAAGTATTTACACCGTAAGAAGTCTTTTAAGGAGCCCTCACATCTTATATTGCAAGTAACATGTCGTTCTATTTTCGAATAAAAGTGAGCATAAAAAAAAAACTTTACCAAATAATTTCTACCATTTACGTTAAAACCAAAACCACTCACAATGGGAGTTTGTTATTGTAGATATACCTGTCATTTAATAGAAAAATTGTCAAAAACGCATAGACCACGCTCCTTGTTATCTGCTATAAAGCAGTGACAAAAAGTCTGGCTCTCTTTGTATCGTCTGAGTTTGAAAACTGAACGTCCTAGAAGCATGATAAATGCAACTTATCAACACCACATTTGGAACTTAGAAGTAAAGTAAAGTCATCGGTCTTTTTTATCTCTTATGAAAATTACCATGCTACTTGGGAATTTTAGAGTTGCTGTATTCTAGACTGTTTTTTCCTCTTAGGCTTACTTGTCCTATCAGATTGACGCGACACAAGGCTTCAGCTATTGAAGATATCTTTCGTTACAATCCTCATAATCACTCTATTTACGTTCTTTTTCTCAACGACATCTCAGATAACCCAGCTGCCTTCCTTTTTTGCCGAGTGCCATGAACCCTACGCAATCTGAGTTTAAAACTCAAAGCCTTAGTGCATGACAAATGCAGCTTATAAGCAACACATTCGCAACTTAAAAAAGAATACCCAGGTGTCCTGCAGATATCGTTGACTTTTTAGTGATTTCAGTTAACTCTTTTTTTCAAACATTTAGTTTCGTCAAAACCCACTTTTTCAATAGGACTACGTTGTCCGATCCCTGAGCATTATTCATATCTTTTCTGCATTTTCAATTACATCAGAGACAACCTCTTAATCAGACTCGCGGGCTTTGGATAATGCAAATTTATAGTTCAAATCGGAGGAGATGAGCAACAGGAGAGAGAAAATCGCTTCAGAAAAGTTAGTGTAATTATTAGTTGCCATTACATGATGCTCGGGAACTCTAAATAATAATAATAATAAT